TATCCAGTTAGTTATCAACTCATCAGAAATATTTCATTCTTACCTACCTTGCATATCCTTGTGTGTAAGAGGTAATTATTCCTGATTTTATTTCCTGGACTAGAAAATAAAATACGGACGTTAAGAACTCAAAGGGGAAAAATATTAAATAAAATAGTCAAAAACGTGTTTGAAAATCTGATGCTACACATGAATCTTACAATGTCCAGCCACTACTCATTGCGGTTTTGCATTGTGTAGTGAATATAAACTAGTCCTTGTTGCAGTGTGTGCTTCAAATCCGTACCTCTGCCAATCAGTGGGAGATGAATGTAGGTTCTTTTGAATAGACTCAACACTGTATGCTATACCCAGCCTACAAACTGGACTTTAGACATTCAGCCAGTGCACACATTAGCTAATAGTTTTTGGTCTTCACTCAGTGGTAGCTCTGGCACAGGTATAGATTAGTTCTTCTAAGTGATAACTAAATTAGAAGAATAGTAGGAAAGTGGCTGGTGCTACCCAGTAGATAACATTGGGAGGGTTTTGCCAAAGAGATAGCTCCATGGATTTAGATTCCAGAAAATTAACTTAGGGACCAGATGAATAAATTCATCACTTATCTGTATGAGATATGTCTTGATTGATACATTAATATTGATATCCACATTAAAGTTTCTACATGGTCTAACATTAATCACTTACTGAAGAACAGCCTCAGTAGTGCATTTCCAGGATTATGAGTCTATTTTTGTGGGTTTAGCTACAATAAATGGTAGCTTCTGGCAGTCACCACTTATGTTCTACACATTATATGGATGAAATTTCCTCTTTGTTGACACAGTTATCTTGTGGTTCACTCAAAATTTCTAATCACTGAAAGGAACCTGAAACGTCACCTTTCACCCACAGAAGGCATCTTCTCTACAGCATTATTGATTATCTCTCCCATTAAATTATGATGTTTTTACTCCCACCATTTGTCTTTGTCCTATTGACCTTAGCAAAATTTTTATCACATTATAGGGAAAATTAGATTTGTGAGCATTAAAAGATACAACATAAAGCTAACCATAGTTAAAACTGAACAGAGGATACCTTCTTATTGACTAATTATGGATGGAAAAATTAAAACTGCTTGATTAAAAATTAAAATTTTGAATTAATAAAAATAAATCTATAAGATAAAAATCACAGTAACCTAAACTTTGATGTGAACCACAGACTAATGAATAAATCAAACTTTATTGTACAATTGACACACACTGAAAACAATTTCAGGAAAATGAAAATAAAAATACTGAAAAGAAACTAATGAACAGAACATGAATCAAAGAATTAAAATGACCAGATAGAATTAAGTCTAGAAATAAACTTATTAATCTATTAGTGGTGGTACGATCCGTACAAATATGTTATTTATAATCATACAAATTAAAACAAAACATTTTTTTTTTTTATTAGGATTTGGGTGAAGATTTACAGAGTAAATTCACTTTTCATACAGCAGTTCACATATACTTT